AAAAATTAAAACCAATAAAAATGGTCCAGGAAAAATTTACTTTGACGACCCAGTTCTAAGCAGTTCAATATGTGAAGTTGCCTAAATAAGTAATTCTGTCACTTTGATTTGTTTTCTCCTTCTTTGCTTCTTGTAGTGGTAACTAAACCACACTACTTTGACATTGATCCGGACAACTCAACCCACTCCGCCGTCTTCGTAACCATTAGAGTGCAGTAGAGAGAACACCACACACACGGATGAATCAAATATTATATAATTAGCACCATATCGATAATCTCTCAAAGATAGATCACAATCGAGAATAACTCAGGACCAACCATTGTATACACATTGTCCTATTCTCGAGTTAGTCAGCACTTCCTGTGAATCTAGCTTATCTGAGTTGAGCGAAGTGTACCTGTCAAAGAGCGGATACTAATTCCAGCCTTGACAAAGATGAGACTTCACCAAACAAAGAACACACTGATAGATCAAAGACAAAGACGACTCTTTACAATTGGAAGACAACATCCATCATTATCATAACCGACAAACTCAACTCTCCCATCCTTCTTCATCTTTGAAACATCCGAAATCCGGCATGTCCGCGATCCATTCGTCAGTTCATCCAAACGGAAGTCTAGACACCATCTTCAACAGTATATAAAGGGTTGTGAATTCATTCAATAAAAATCATCTCATATTTGACTCTCACTGTATTTCATATCGTCTTTTATTTAACCTCTAAAATCTATCCACAACCCACGTTTATCACACTTGTCCACTATGCCTAAGAAGATTCGCCTCACCAAGAAAGCTCGTGTCTTACGGCACTTCGTCAACATTAGCAAGGTCTCCGACAAGATGCTGTGTGGTCAGCATAAGTTCTTAAACGATCTCGACCGGAAATGGGGTTTGATCTCGGACGAAGCAATACCCATTCATGAAGAAGTTGACATGTCGCTTCTCAATGACGAAGAATTGTTGGGTGACTTCGTTGATGAAGAACTCGAGTTGACGGAATTTGACCAAGAATTTGTCAAGAAGGTCTTATCAAGCTGTTACTTGGTATCAAGAAAAAGGAAACCTAAAGCCGTCGACCTACGTGAACTTTTGTTTACAACGAGCGACAACGCCGCATTTCGACGCGAATTTTGAATGACCAGGAATACGTTTGAGGCACTGTACGATCTCATCAAGGATGACCGCGTCTTCAACAAAAACGAAAGGAAAATGCGACAGACACCTGTTCGAATTCAGTTGGGAATCGCATTATACCGATTCGGTCACTTGTCGGGCGATCTTGATGATGTGGCTTCAAGATATGGTTTCGGCAAGGGCACAGTTGCTCTCTTCACAGACAGGGTAATTCACGCATTACTGAAGCATATCAAGGAATTCGTATTCTGGCCTAATGAGGACGAGCACAGCCAACTGAAGACCGATCTTCGCGATATCAAAGACCTCGCATTCAAAGAATGCATTGGTATTGTTGACAGCACTGATGTTGTGTTGCAATACAAGCCAAGTTGGCAAGGCGAACAATTCTTCACGAGAAAGAAGAGATATGCACTTAATCTGCAGATCGTTTGTGATATCAACGATCGGATCCGTTACTTCTCTGCTGGTGAAACAGGGAAGGTACACGACTTGCGCGCTTTCCGTAAAAGTATGATGGGAAAGAATTTGGATTCATTCTTTGATGAATCTGAATACATTCTTGGCGATGTGGCTTACCCTCTGTCACCGCGCCTTGTCACACCCTATAAAGGGGAGGCACGACAGATCCCGGAAAATCTTCAGTTCAATCGAAAGTTGTCGTCTGTACGAGGTACGTTGTATTATTACGAATTTGTAATTTGTCCATGTATTCTTGTGTGTTGAGCCATTTTCTTTTGATCTACTTTGTGTATAGTGGAGGTTGAACGTACGATCGGGTTTTTGAAGAACAGATGGCAAAGCTTAAAATGTCTACCGATCATGATCAGAAGCAAACATGATTATAAGCGATGCATGAACTGGATTGCTGTTTGTTGTCTGCTGCACAATTTTGTGCAAAACGTGAAAGATGACGGCTCTTACTTGAGCGTCATTGGTGACCTCCAACGGCGCCGCAATCCAGACGCAGACATGAGCAATGTAAGAGAGCTTCGTCGGACCGGTGATGATGACTTTTGGGGTGATGATGATGAAGGTAATGAGTTCGTTGACACAAGTAGACGTAACAGAGGTCAAATCACCCTAGGCGAAATGATGCGAGTGTACTTGAAGATAGCACTTGGAATCACAGCTCGATAGGCCTTTTTGTTTTTTATTGTAATATTTTAAAACTAAAATCAAAAACAAAATAAACCTACTCTCTCTCTTCTACCCTCCAACACTACTTGCCACACTACTCGCTTCTTCTGTACTCTCCCGTCTCTCCTCTCTTTCTTCTCTCCATATGTACTCTCCCCCATTTTTTTGTTTCATCTCTTCTAATTCAATTGACAGTCGCAAACGTTTTATATATCGCGTCTCGTGTTCATGGTGCAGCCGTTGCATGCGTTCTTCATGTGCCATTTCTTCGTGTCTAGTCTGGGCTCGCATTTTTTCGATCGCAAGGTCCAACTGCTTTTGACGAGTCTTGTGTATTTCAACGTGAAGACGCGAACGTTCAGACATGAAACTCTCAGTAAAATCCATGCTAAAAAAAAGAAAGAAACAAAGGAAATATTCGGTCAATAACAAATATCTGTATATCGTATAGCCCATCGAAATGAGCATTTGAAAAGCTTACGTTTCATCATCCACGTGAAGTCTAAGTCCCGAAGCTTCTTGAACTTCTTCACTAATAGCGTCATCGCCTCGCTGTGATTGATTATCGCTCTCGTCTACTAGCCTACCTAAGCTATCTATTTGGATTTGAGAGTTGGCACCGATGCTGTCGCCGAGTATATTCTCGCAATCCTCCCATAGAGGCCACTTAAATTTAATGTAGGCTTTTTTTATATACAGTTTAGTATATACAATGCAATAGGCGTCCTTGTAGATATAATACCACTATATCTGAGCTTACCTTCCCATGTCATATGTGAGTGTAGACCGCCAGGAACACCTTTACCAGACTGGAGATTTTTTTCTCTCGTGTCCTTCTCCCATTTGTCGCGCGACCAATCTACCTTAGTGAGTACTTGTTGTTGTGTGTAAGATGCGGCAAATATGGTCCGGCTGATAGTTGCAGCGGTCGACGACTTGTTTGCAAAAAACCGCTGCTTCCTTTCTGCTACTGCCTTGGCAAGTTTCTTTATATCTTCACTCGTCCAATTGGCTCGTCTTAAAACACATATTCAAACGATAAACAAGTGTATTGACGACAACAATTATTAACTAAACAAAAAGAAATGTCCTATACCTGACGCAGTTGTAGTTGGTGCAGTTGCAGAAGGTACTGTTGCTGCTGCGCTTGAAGAGGCTACTGCTGGCGTAGTAGCTGCCATAGTAGGTACTGATGAAGTTGTTGAATGGCCAGCCATCATAGAATCTGGTACGTGCGTTGCCGATTGTGATCCTGAAGACTGTGCGATTTGCTGGTCACCAGGTGGTATCGATGCTTCTTCGGCCTGTGCGGGCGGTGCTGGCAGCAAAGGCACTCCTCCTGTTTGTGTCTGTGTCATTGGAGAAGGAGGGTAATGAGGAACTTGTGAATATGGGAATGATGGATAAAAAGATGCAGCACCATGCATCACTCCATACGATGGGCTATTTGTCGGTACACTGTTGTCTACGAGGCCGTCCTGCTGCGAACTTGTTTGGGCACTGGTTTGGGGACCATTTTCAGGGTTGTTTGGAATGTGGACACTGAATCGATGTTATGCCATAATTGATTGATATTTTTGGTACTTACCTTCCGTCACTTACCTAGTCATATTATATATGTTACTTCGAGTGAAACTGGGTGCAAACGGGGCTCAATTGCACGCCGTATATGTACATGAAGGAGAAAAGACGAGTGGTCCATTAGGTCGAGAGTCATAAATGCGCATAAATGAGTAAAAATGAGTGGTTAGTTTTAAAGGAAAAAGATGTTTACCCTGGGAATATACTTACATACATACACTTATTAACAAGAAAGGAAAAGGCCATACGCGATTGATTGGTCAGACTATGGTAGAAACCAGGAATGGGAAGCAATTGGTTACTATATATTTTAGTGAAATTGGGAACAGAGAAGTTTTTTCCAAAGCTGATGTAAAAAGACGAAGAACTTGAATGTACAAGAAACAGCATTTACGTATTATATTTTGAACACGAACGAAGATTATTGTCTAACTCCAAATCAAAAATTGTTAAACTAATACAAAATCTTCTATTCAATGTTTATATTAGCATAATCAAAATGTTGTTTGTAGAAACAAAGCCCCAGGTTGTTGTTTGTTTGCTGCTGCCTCAAAAGTTTTTTTATTTTTTGCTGCACTATGAGACAAATTAACGTCAAACAAGATTTTTTGAGTTTTTCTTTTACTTTTTTACATGACATAGCAGAAAAATAGAAAGGCTTATAGTAACCTTAATCAATATGTCCTTATATACTAGTGTTATGCCTTTTATTTCATTCTGATATGTATAGTTTATTGACGTTTTGTGCTCTTCTTTACATTAACCGGTGTAATAATTGATCCGTAATGCATTAACCGGTATATTCGTAGGGCCGAGAAACCTACTAAAATAGGTATCTTCAGAAACATATCTGCATCAAAGACGGTCCAGCTATTTTGCTGAATTTTGCTGGGGGCTTAAAATTCCGCTACCCAATTAAAATTATTTAATTTTTTTGTGAGACCTATGATATCCCAGGTCCAACCAACTTTGATGAGGCCCAATATTAGCGTTTGCCTCGGGTGTTACGCGAGGCGAGTTCAGAGGTCATAATTTTTGGGGGGTGATTGGAAACAAGGACGAGTTTTTGGGGGTGCAGAGTGAAGAAAAAGTTTAAAACGAGGTGGTTTTAATCGCGCGCAATGCTCGAAAAATGTCTCTCCTCTATGGTCTAGTGGCTAGGATCCCGGTCTCTCACACCGGTGGCCCGGGTTCAATTCCCGGTGGGGGAATTCTACCATATAAGAAAGATGTATTTTTTGGTTCTACTTATCTTAGTATAATATCTGGTTTTCTTACGTATCGAGTCGCTTTTTGGTGGGTGGATCTATAGCCAATGAGAAAGGATAAGACCAAAGGGTAATTAGAGAATAGAGGGTTGTTAAGAGATACTTTTTATTGCTTGTGATCGCGTGGCTATTTATGATCTTTTTGTCTAATAAAGTGCCTCAGCACTTGCCAGATGATACAACCATATAATACGATACAATTACGATGCTGTCAAATTCCGCCTTCTACTCATTGTTTGTGTGTTGTCAACATATTTTAGCGCGGCAGAATTCTGTTGTAATTGTTTGCTGCCTAGTGTTGTTGCACAATACTCGGTTATATTAATTACCATACATATTTCTTTTACTGCAGTCATCAAGTTGCGCAGCTGCCCACTTATTATACTTCTTTACTGCGCAACACTAATCGTCGGAGTCATACCTTTATTCATAGCTATTATTATATCCGTAGCTTATCATTGTAATCATCATCATATCCGCAGCAGTATAAATGTATATTCATAGTTGTAGAAATAGTATAAATATGGGTCAACTTGATTGAATAAAAAGAGCATCTAATAACCTATCTATCTTTGTGCATATACCTTCGTGGTCTTATTTCTTTGTGGTCTCCCCTCCGTTTTTATTCCTTCGTGGGTCGTCATTATTCTCCGTGGTACAATTTTACAAAAAGGACGACATTTGGTAGTGGAAGAAAATGAACTTCACCGACGAACAACAACAACAATTCGTGATTCAAGAATTTGTGGTGCGACATCTACTAGAACATCTTCGTGATACCTACAGATCCAACGTACAACAAATCGACATTCCGGATAACCAAAGAACCAACTTTTCCGAGGGACAACTAGTAGTGATGCAAGAACGTGCACAAGGCTTGGCGCAGTGTTTCATGGAATCATTTCCTAGCAACAACGAGCAACATCAACCTCAACAACTAAGACAGGACCTACAAATGCTGACGACTATACAAACAATGCTTCAGCAGCTACAGGCGCAACAAGCAGAAATCAAGGCCTTCCGTGAACAAGCAAACAAACCCACCAACATGAAAATCAAACCTGTCCAACCCAATCTCTTTCGTGGTGTGCACTCCTCGTCAGTGGTCGAAGCCTAGTTACATACTGTAGATAAATATGGTGAGTGTGCCGACCTTACTGACCACGAACGCGTCACCTATGCTTCGACGTTGCTTCGTGATGGTGCCGCAACATGGTAGCGACACTTGGAAATATCGGTACATCCTGACGATGGCTCGGATCAAACCCCAAAGACTTGGCGCGAATTCCAAGAGGTTTTCCGTCGAGAGTTCAAACCACGTAATGCAGAACAAATGGCCCGTAACAAGCTCCGTGCCCTCACCCAAAACTCGACTAAGAGGACTAATCGGTTTATTACTATATAACTTACTATTACCAAATTTTTAATTATCAGCTGAATTTTAAAAATCGAAAAAACAAAATTGAATTTTTTTTATAATATAAAAATATAATCGCAATAATATTAACTAATAAAAAAAATGGTGATCCTCAACACAGAAATCCTTGTACGTAAACAAACTATGGTTGCTCTTATTTCGCTCTGAACAGAGAACCCAAAATAGTTTTGCAAGAATTCAAAGTCCTCTCTACTCAGATCGAACATAAAGGCGCACCGCACCGAGAAACTTCCTTTTCTGTATATACCCCGAGGTGTTGCATGAATAACAACGCGATTGCCATACGAAACTTTGTACCCGACTGTATATATATATATATATATATATATATACGCTGTGAATATAGTAGAAGCTAATAAATAAATTTCTCTATAATTCACTTCATCCATTGCCTCTCTATTTTTTCTGATACCTATTATGCCAAACAACAGCAACAACCACAACAACTTTCAAATCTTGATGTAGACACCCGCTAGTTCATCATCAGATCCTCAGCAACAGCAGCAGATACAGCAACAGCAAGATTCAGAAGCACCGATGCAGACACCGGAATCCCAAGCCCCAGAAGCATTGCCTGCATCAGTGGCCGCTGATAGTAATTTGACATCGCCTCTACCCAGTTCGCAGACGCCCATTCCTACCTCTGCACGACGCCATACATGGGACGAGGCCCACATCGATGCACTCATTATGGCTGTAGGGACTCGATACGATAGACTGAAGACAGTTATCGAAATGCAAGCCAAAGGTCGCATCTGGAATGAAATACTTTCTGAGTATGTTGCAACTGATCCATTAGGTCGAAGTAAAGAAGCATTACAGAAGAAATGGCAAGATCTAGTCGATGAATATCGCGATGCTAGGGCCTACGTTTCGCAACAGTGGTGAGAACGGCCCTTCAGGTCAAGAGCGATGGTGCTACTATGACGCTGTAGACAGAATTGTGGGAACTGACCCTGCAATTGTACCTCCTGCCACGATGGATTCCCTCGATGGCCTCATTGTCAATAGCACCCAACGAGAAAGGGATAACGATAACGATGTCAGCGAGCGGCCCACACAGCAACGACGAACAGCGGCATTTCAAGAGCTTGTCCTTGAGAATGCCGATCGGCAAACCGATCGCCTCATTGCCAGCATCAGCGAGGCATTCCAGCGGTTTGAGGAAGCAGAAGACCGGCGTTCGCGAGAGGCGTAGGAAGCAGAAGACCGCCGGTATGATATATACTTGCAGACACTAAGAGATCTGTTTGGTAGCCCTACAAACACAAATAGAAGTGGAGAGCCTAGTAATAATAACGAAGAAGAACAATAAATTTTATTATATTATAATATGACATTTATTCAGAACTGTTAAAAGTGTATCTAGAATACCCTGTGTGATGATTAATATCTTCTAATATAGCACTTTACTGTACTTTACAGAATGTGAAGAAGAAAACTAGTCATGCCATTACAGACAATAACTGCTACGAAAAGATGCCCAATTATTTAATACACGAACTTTTAGTACTAAGCAGCACTTCACGTCAATATCTAAAGATATAGAGCGATTACTAGAGCAATGTATAAGGTATTGCGTTTATTGATTTGAGGACAATGATTCTTTAAGCATATCGCGTTTCTGACGCCCTTGTGCAAACAACCTCGTACTGTCTTCTCTAGCACTAGACTGTCTATCAGTATCTATTATTGATATACGTCCGGTTTGTTCATCCTCTTCTGTGTTCAATGGAAACAGTTCGTCAGAGTGCGGATCGAGCTGCTCGATACAGATATTATGGAGTATGCAACAGGCATAAATCACCAGCGTCAGGTTTGTATGATCCAAGAGGTACATGTAATGTCGCATGAACCTCTACCGGGAAATAAGACGACTGAGTGCTCGCTCAATAGCCATTCGCATTGAAGAATGGACTTTGTTGAATCGCTTTTCCGCGGGATCAGTTGATGAGCTAGGATATGGCGTCATGATTGTTGGCCGCAGAGGAAAAGCAGAATCTATGAATAGGTTCAAATGCAGAATATAAGCAAAGCTGTAGAACATCAAAAGTACAGGACTACTAACCGACAAGAATGTATGTTCCATTAGGACACCATTGTTCAGGATCACTCAGCAGTCTGGTATTGAACGCACTGTTATTGAAAGCGCGGGCGTCGTGAGTTCGCCCTAGTGAACATATATTTGTGATGCAGTTGCAGTTAGCAACGTGTATGTTCAAGACATTAATAAATCTCTTATAGATTACTGTACCTGATTGACCCACGTCAATAAAAGTAAAGCGCCCATCTGCAGCACATACAGCAAGCAAGTTTATCAAGTGATGCAGTTTGCGGTCAAAGTACCATTGACCTTGCTTCGTTGGTTTGTGGATCACCACGAGCTTGCCATCCATAGCTCCAATCGCCCCTTGCAGCCTTGCTGAGGCATCTCGAGAGGTAGGTAAACCGGAGGGCAAAGAAAAGGCGTTGGAAGCTTCACGGGCTTCTTCTGGAGAGCGTGGCCACCTGATCTTGGAGCCATGGATGTCGCAAATAGCTTTTATGAATCGCACAGTAAAGTTGTGGTACGATCCTTGAGAAAAGCCAAATTGCGTCTCAAACATTCTGTATCCAATGTGAGTATTTGTAAAACGCCATAGTATGCAGCAGACTTGAATATAAACTGGTGTCATTCTTGATGACTCTGACACAAATTCCTGATGCACAGACAAAGTATTGACAAGCCATTCTAATATGGATTTGCGCATGCGGTAATGATATTTATAGCTGCCAGGACCGTCGTCATCGCGAAGATTCGAGTGGGTCAATGTCCAATATTCCGTGCTGTGAATTCTTGGGATCTTGGCTGCTCGAAAATGATGCGGCGAACCAGCGTAAGCTGCGACGATGTTCGCATTGACCGAAGGAAGCATTCCTATGGCGGGTGCTACAAGTTGCGTCAAGAGCTTGATGAATGCTGCTCGACGACGTCTTTTTTCTTCAAGATGATTGTGCGTTGGGCGGCGAATAATAGCTGATGGTGGAATATTGTTCATTTTTATGATAAAAGCAGATAAAATAGATGAAAAATAGAGGGTGTATTTTTCTTTCAATACTTTTATTATTCATGAAAGTGACAGTTTCCTTTTATATCGATCCGAGCGAGCCACCACGGAGGCCTTTCCATCGGAGAAGCCACTACCAAAATTGGAGGCCTCCGAGAAGCCCTCTTTTGGAAGGAGAACGGAAAATGTATTTGCCATTGCTATATTAGGGTATGGTGTTCTCTGTTCGGAGTGAAATGAGAGCAACCTATGATAAGCTCAATGAAAGATATCATGACTCAAGTTATGGATAAATATTTTGATGATGAAATTCTATGTGATTTGAAAGAAGAAAAACAAAAACTAATGAAAAATATCATAAAGGAAAAATTGGAAGAAACAAAAACAAACTATTTTTGGTATATCAATAGCAGTAATAATATATATTCATATGTTTATAAAAGAGGAAAAAAAGAAGG